GGTCAGCCTCACATGCAAGCAACTTCTACAGATGAAGGTTGGGCTAGTAATACAATCAAACAAAATGCAATAGATGATACTGTTAAAATGTTATTCTCAAAGACGTCAGTTGCTGAAGATGTGACTGAGGCATTAGAACAGTTAGATTCTAGTGTGGGCATTATGGTAGGTGTCTGTATTTCCTTGTCTCATTAAATTCATGATGACTGTAGTAGTCTTATAAGGCACTTAAACATTTCAAATACAGAGACAAATCAGCTACATTGAATTAAATATTTTAGCAGCTCATTTCAGATGCATGTACTGTGCATGGTGACAAATCTGCACATTAAATGTTGTAGTTAGAAAGGAGTTAGATGAAAAATGGGTATCTTCCATTTATTTTACATTTTATTTCTATCCTCATTTACAGGGTATAAACTGTCAGCCTTCTCATCAAATATGTCTTACAAATGAGGATCTACAATATTTATTAGATACAAGAAGAGAGACAGTCAATAAGGGCAGTTTTCAACAGGTAATAATCTTTGCTAGGGTGGTCATTATGGTTTATGAGTAATGCATGCATGTTAAAGTTTGATTTGAGACATGAATTGATATCTCAATAATAATGCTGTATTAGAAGCACATTATAGAAGTGCTCACTTTAAAATCATAGGACAAAATGGTCAAAATAAGACATTTCAATGATTTTGCATGTAATAAATACAATTTTTGCTTTATGTGTAAGATGTGCTTTTGATACAGTATTTGTACTTCATGCCTCCAATGCCTTTAACACACAGGAGTTCATTCTAAGCTTTCTTTGATTTTTGTCATGGTACATTCATCAAAAATATATATAACAGGACCTTAATAACTTTTTCAATCAGATTCAAAATAGACAAAAACAAGCTGTTCTTGAGCTACGTATAAAAAAAAAGTATCTAATTTAACAGTAAATTGCTTATCTTTCACAGCTATATCCATCCTATGACTGCACTAAGTACAGTTTATTATTAAAAGACTTACACAGACTTGGCAGTGTAATGAAGAATGAACCAGTAATGACATATTCATCCAATGTGCATCATAACACAGCAGAACTACACACTGTAATATCAACAATTGAACAATATTACTATTCTAAAGAAATGGAGAACAACAATGAGTTTGATGATCTGGGTCCTGAGAGTAACACAGAATTTCTCAACAGTACTGATAGGAGAAGATTTAAAAAAGAAGGATATATAGCTAATTTAATTGATAATGTGTTTGATGATGATCCTATAATAGATGTCAAGTACAAGAGACCGCCTTGTAGTGAAGGTAAGTGACCATCCTTACCAATGTAGTGTGTGTCTTGTAAGGAAGGTAAGTGGGAACCTATGCTAAACTTTGCATAATGAAATTGCAACTTTTTAGGTTATGTATCATGTCATTTTAGTGAGTAAATTGAAAGACCATCACACCACCTGTTGAAATATGATTATGCATTGTCTTCTGTATAAAACCTGACTCTAGAGGGCAGTCACATTGTATAAATGTGTCCATACTATACACATTATGAAGATACTTTTTTGTTCTTATGTTTCAGATAAAGGCACAATGCCATATTTAACTGGTTTATATATGGAATCTGGTATAACATTAAGTCCTACATTTGACCCTATAGTCACTGAGTATCGTGTAATAGTACCATATGACAGTGTTCTGATTAAAATCTGGGCATTTGCTGCCAGTTGTGATTGTGAGGCAAGATTGGATGATAAATATGGTCCAACAAGGTAACTATTATTGACCTGACTCTTTCCAGTCACAAGGAGGCAGTGTTTCCTTACTATTATAGATTTTATGAATTGAAGGTTAAGATATGGTGATCAAGTCAAAATCATTTTCATTGATGTACTGATCTATCATATTTGCATTTATTAACCAAATACTGTGGTTTTGTCTACATCAATACATTCACTAAACAGTGCAAAACAGGCTCACATGTCTTATTGTAGCTCCTGGTCAATTGCCTATCCATCTTCAAATCAATTATAATTGATATATCAATTA